ATTCTTTACTGCGGCTGAAATATTCATTTTTAGAGCGTTAGTGAATTAAAAAAAAGCAGTATAAAAACCGGAATGTCCAACTGATAAGGCTGAAAATTTTTTCACTTTTTATTTACAGTAAGATAAATACATTCACCAACTTTTATTAAAATGAAACCATTTAAACTGGGTGTTCGGATTTATATGTCACTTAGTACATTAACCTATATGCCCAGATATGCAGGTGGTCAGTCTTGAGTGGTTTTTTTATTATCAGAACCCTTAAGTAGGTTATATCTCTTAGAATGACATATCCGAGTGTGTAATAAAAAGTACGACTTAAAAAAATATTTTTGATGTGGGGCAAAATTAGGACACCCTGTATAATTGGGAGTATTTTAGACATGTGCCGTCGTGTACATGTATAATAACCGATAAGTATATTACTGTTTAGGAGCAATACTCTACTCCCGCACCATGTATATCATATCATATATTCATAGGAATTAAGAGCCCATGAGAACTTTTTGATCACGATGCTCTGAAGAGCTTATTCCCAAAGATTGAACGGGATTCACCGGGAACTGATTTCCCCACTCCTTTAAGACGTTCCGGAGTTTTTTCTTAAAATGAACTCGAGAATCACTCCTTTAAACATTGAAGGTTACTGTTGAAACGCCTTGTATAGGCAGTCCTTTTATTACTAACGGCACATATCAACATATTCATAAAGCATCTCCGAGAACATGCCCGGCGTTTTAAATTTTTATTTACCATTTCGCGTATGCCTCAGGTGTCGACACTTTATGACATGCTTATCGATAGACAATAATAAAGACCTTACGTATCGCTGTTTCTACATGATATTTGAACGTGTCTACAGAGCGAAATACAATCACTTCGCCAATACAACGAGCCAGGTTCTTATATTCTGGCGACATGTAACTTCTGTGAGGTCTCTGTACGTTGGACTGTAATCTTTTCGTCCACAGAAGATCCAAATTTCAAAGGACGCCGGGTTTCGAGATACGGTACTTTCCGCTCCAGAGGCAAGAACATTGTGAATCGAAATCAAAAATCGCATGTAAATTGTTTGGGATTGAATAAAAAACTAATTTAACTTCCTAAATTTGGAAATAAGATATAGTATAGTTTTTTCGTTGATACGTCTGACCTCTAATCCTTGTCCCTTCTGTAGCTTGGGAAGTACCGTTTAGATATTTTAGATAAATTTTGACATAGGGTTCCTACTATGACAAGAATGAAAAAACTTCATGGTTTAATGCTCATTTTTTTTTATTTCTTTTGATAGATAAACATTCGGACTTCTAACACCGGTTATTATTATGTAAATATTACACATAGGTCATACATGGATTTTGTTTATTTATATTTTTGTCAAGTTGGGATAGCTACGTAGGAAGCTGAGAGCCAGCCCTTGATATGCCGTGGAACATATTCTGAACCCACGCCCTGACGCTTAATACGTGGTATATCATGTCTCCCTCTATTGTTATTGCTATTACAATAGCTTGTACCCATACTTGTATTTTTCATAATATTTTACTTATCACTAATAACACTTAGACTTTTGGTGTACCTAAAGCTGCTAATAAATTTATATAGTTCTAAGTACTAATTCAATCTGCTTGACTCTATTTTTATATACTAGTAATTCATGGCACTCCCGTACCTTGACGTTTAACAGCCACTGTATGTCATTTTAATTCCTATTGCATTTGCATATTCTCCATCGTTAATGAAAAACGCCATACAGCTGTAAACCGGTGGAAATGCCGCTTTGCCTATCTCATCACTATTTAAATAGCAAAATAAATAATATTTTTGCAAGTTGTTTGCAAAAGTACCTACTCAAATAAACTTTATCTGTGGCTAAATAAAAATTGCATTTCCTGTTAGGCATACAGGAATATAATTCAGGGTTATTAACATTGCCTACGTATAAAGGTACGTTTCTATTTCAACAAATTGCACCGACTGCCATACGCAACACAGAGTACATACGAAATGTCAACGCGCAACGAATTATAAAATGAAAGTATTTAGAGTTGATATGATTCAATAAGATCAACATTTACTTAAATTAAACTGAAAAAGCTAATAGTAAGCATTGGTAGGGATGCACACGATATATCATTTTTTATCGATGTTTGCATGCGTTATTATACTTTTTCACAGTACCTTAAGTAAAAACATGGAAATTGTTAAATTAGGCATCGAAGTTCTGAGTAACGTGCCAAAATCACGTAACCCTTTTTTTACTATTTTGATCACTTACCAATAATTTGAATTTCTCTTTATTAATGATAGAAGACCGATTCCTAGCCCAAATCCTTTTCATTGATTTTCTTTTGGCGAATTTCATAATTTACTTAATCCTAAAAGTATGATTTCTCACTTATTATATATTTCTGTCTTAGCGACTCAGTAATGTGTTGAAGTCTTTTGGACACTATGCTATAATATTTTATCTTCATCTCAGAAATTTCCTCATAAAATTTCAATCGTCCCTCGTAGACATTATTTTGGGAAATAATACGGTCCTGAGTTCTACCCATAGGCAACCAGTGATGTTCTTTGTGTAGGTTCAGCTGCGGAACTTTTCTTGAAATTCGTGTGGGTGATCATTTTCCGGGGAAGGTGTATTGTCGGCCATTCAATTGATTTCGAGATATTTTATATTTGTCCACAATCACCAGTTTATGGAGTAGCACCATTTCTTATACCTACCTTACATTTACTTGTTTTGGTTTAGGTGCTACCACCTCCATTTTTTATGGGATTTTAACTTCTTCAGCGTGGAAAGGCATTGAGGAAAATCACCATTTGTACCCCTCCAGTTTTTTAGCTGTCTTGTAGCTGTTTGTAGCCGATTTTACTGGAAGTCACCCCTTTCCCTTAAAAGTAAAACCTCCACATCAGAATGGATATAGATACACGATTCATTCAAGTTATTGAGTAAGCATGAAACAAGAAAAGATCACCAGTCAGTTGTGAAAGTTTTACATTATTAATTGTAGGTTTTGTACCATCTGACATGATGAGCTATGCGAATGCCACCTCAACTCAGGTTATTAAGTACACGGTTAATTTTGATACCTTTGGGCGATGATTAGATCAGATAAATAAGAACTTCACAAGTCTTACTTATATGTTTCTGTTTTATATAACTCAAACTTGTTTGTCACTATTAACATAATATATTTTACTAAAGCATCGTCTAGTCGGAATGATTTAAGCGGAAATATTGAATATGTAAACCATAAATACTCTACTTTAATTGAACTCAACTGTGAAATGTCAAACCTCGTATTACATGTCCAGACAGCAGAACGCTGACATATAAAAAAGGGAAATATATCATAAGTTCAGAATTATACAGGGACATATTTTTACTATTCAGTGAATTTTTAAACTGATACATTTTGATATAATTCTCGTTGAGGAACTTTTGTTATAATATTGGTATGATCTGATATACGTAATATTCTTTTTATATTTGTGCAACGTAAACCTCAAGGTTTAACATTTTGACGAAAATAAAAAATAGCGTCAAGTAGATTGACTACTCTATACTTACTACGCCTTCGTTGAGGTTTCAGAGAAAAGAGATAAGTCAAGTAGTTTCAAAAGGCGAAATTGAATCATTATTAGGTAGGTTCACTTAGTTACGATGAATCTTCGACCTCTGCATCGAGCTGTACAGGCAACGCCAACGATTACAAAGTTATTTCGAATTATAAGCGCATTATACATCGGAAATTGATCATTTAAGTTTCCCTTTGTTACCGGGATCAAAACCTTCTTGATAATAGAATAGACTAATACTAAAGACGTAACATTTACGAGGGGGTACCAAAAAAAACGGAATTATTTTTTAAAAGCTATTTATTTTCAACTTTTTCACAAAGTAACCGTATCTCCTTCAAAATACTCTCCACTACAACTAACACACTTATCCCTCTGGTGCTTCCACTGCTCGAAACATTTTTTGAAGTATTCCTTAGAAATGTCTGACAGCTCTTCCCTCGTTTTTTTCTTGACCTCTTCAACGTCGTCAAAGCGGCGTCCTTTCATGCCCTTTTTCATCCGTGAAAATAAGAAAAAATCGCACATAGCCAGGCCAAGCGAATAAGGTGCGTGAGGCAGCGGAACCATGCCATTTTTGGCCAGAAACTGTCGAACAGAGATGGCTGTGTGCGCATGTGCATTATCGTGGTGGAAGAACCAGTCTCATGACTGCCGCAAATCGGCTCCAAATAGCACAAGCTCTCGAATTTTTCAACATTTCGTCGATTCAGGCAGTTGATGGACGTCCAGAGCGAAGTTTGTCATCAATCGACATATCGCCACTTATAAATCGAGAAAACCACTCGTACACCAGAGTTTTTCTCATAGCATTATCTTTGTAAGCTGTTTTCAAAAAAGCAAAATTTCACAGCTGCACGCTGCTCACTGAAGTTCGCCATCGTAAAAAACGAAACAAGCACAAAATAGCTCTAGCAAAAATGATGACTACAGAGAAACGAAACAAGCCAGATCGTTGACTCAGGTCTCACTGAACTGGTAATGAGTTGCTCTGTACGCCTCTAGGGGCAAAAATGTGTACTACACAAGCTCCGCCCACTGCAATGCTATTACGGTTATTTTTGGGTACCTCCTCGTATAACCCCTACAACCCTCAAGCCCCGAGTTTCAACCCCTACAAAAAAGATTTTGCAAAAACAATCAGAAGCGATTTGTATTTTATTTGTAAAATAATATAAGTGACATGATTTTACATGTCGTATAACGTATTTTGAAAAGTCTGCGCTCATGTTCAGAACGATATGCAACCATCGCATAGTGTTATTCTTAATGGGTCTCAATTGGTAGACGTTATTTTAGCTAAATATCTAAACAAAAGAAAATATTGTCTGTCTCAGCAAATTTTTAAATTCGACCCATCGAAACCTGACCGCGCGGCGGCGTGGCTTGCATTTGACCATATTCAATTAGTTAATGACACTGGCTTAACGGCTCATTGGGTTTCGATGGAAACGCAAGGGGAAGGAACCCTTTTAAAGTTCGTCAGTATCTAGTAGTAATTAAATAACGATAGGCAGACTAAACTGTGTCTGGGAAGCCCGATACCTTGATGACTTTCGCAAATTTACCTGCCTTTGGAGCCCGGATAACGTGTGCTGTTCGTCAGGTTGGAAGTCTTACAGTGATAGTGATGTGCTAGACTGATAGTGTTAAATTGAAATTACCAGAAGTGCAGTTTTAATGCGTATGAAAGGAAGTGTCAAAGTTTCTTATGGTTTCGAACGTGCTCGTCAGAAACATGTGTGTCACTCATTTTTTTTTGCTTTTTGACAAAGTCTAATATCAGTGACCACTGAACCAATTTTCTTCGAGAAACGATATGGTGAGGAATCATTGATCAAATTTTAAATAGGACATTGGGTAATTTTGGCAGTTGTTTTTTATCTCACGGGCAGAGATGAACTGTCTCTTATTAGGGACGTCATGACACAAAATAATGTACAAAGAATCGCAATAAACGTTTCGGAGATATTGCAATGCGAAGTTATTTTAAAAATGAAGTACATTTTATTTACTGAGATAAGATACATTCAAATAACATATCGTCGTTGTTTTGATGAAAACTACTATGTTTTTAGAAGTAGTTTTTACAAAATGACATAAAATATCTTTTAAATTTAAAAAATTGGTTTCGCTTCCACTCACATTCTATTTCTTATTATAAAACTCTTGTACATCAGACAAAATTTATCTACTGTGCACCTATACATGGTGATTCACAAGTCGTGACCAAAAATGAAACAGGACCGCATTCTTCTATGTAACATTTTTTCCTCGAGGGCTTCCACTATTTTTTTTCTAAACGCGCAATTTTTCTAATTTTACCTTCAATTTGCTACAAATAATTACTCTTGTGTTTTTTCTTAGAGTGCATTGTTTTCGTAAAAAAACAAGTTAGATAATCGAAGTTTTATTTCAATAAATGTTCAAAAAGACCACCATTCTGACGGATACATGTGCGACCTAAAAAAAATGGTACTAGCTATGATAACAACCGTATAACATATAACTTTGGCAAACCATCCCCCAAAAAACGTCAAGTAGGTATCAAGGCCACCTATTTTATTTTGAAACTAATTGTATCTCGGCTCTTCATGGATGATCTAATTTGTTTTATTTTTACCAAAACAGTTTCCGAAAAACAACTGTGGCGTGCTATTTTTATTTGGAAAAATAGTGCCACTAATCCCCTGTATCTCTGGCAGTGGTGCACGTTATTTTTAGGTAAAGACTTTTGAATGTGGATAATACTTAGGTAAATCCATATACCAAATTTTTGTTCATTCCAGTTGACGGTTTTGAAGATATTAAAAAAATGTATTTTTATTTTTAAACTTTCTTTTTAATGAATACCTTGAGAAAAAATGTTACATAGAAGACCCCCTTTAAAATTCGGTCCTTTGTATGATGTTTCATTTTTGGTCACGACTTGTGAATCACCCTGTATATGGTCCATGTCTAGACCAAAACAGGCCTAATCGTATTCAACGTGTACAGAACGCATGCATTCGATTCATATATGAGATTAAAACTTATGAGCACGATTCACTCAAATTAAAGGAATTAAATTGGCTAAATATGGAGAAAAGATTGCGCTTATATGCTCTCTGCTTATTTCGCAAAATATCTCTATCAAAAAGTATCATTTCGCGCAGATTTTCATAATGTTGACACGAGACATAAATATCTAATCCACCATTTCACAGGACAATTCTTTTTGAAAGAAGCATTGAATTTACTATTGCTAGATATTATAATTCTCTTTCTTTTCCACATACATGCAAGAAACTAATTTTGGATTACATTATGAACAATTCAAGTACTACAACTTCTATGTTTAATTTAGGCGACCCTACGTGTGTTTTTTGGTCTCTCCCCTTTGAGGTTCTCCCAATATCATTATTTTCTTTCTCATGTATGTGTAGAATGTACGTATATGATGGGAAAATAAAGAACATATTATTGAATTAAATGCCTACTCTAATAGACATTGAGGAGCATTTTATTTTAAAACGATTTCTACATTGTTGTCCAGGCCAGAGATGAAGAGTTGTAGGGGGTGGCGAGGGTATATCTCAATTTTTTTTTTGTAATTCTTCGCACCTATGTTAGACATATTTCACTCATTCACAAATTTCCCCGTATATGTTATTTGCCTTTAAAACTTAAATCTTGCAAATCTTGGTAAGTGTTTTGGTATTACTGCCGCGCCTGACTGCTCATCGGGATTCATATATACCAGACGTATCAGACTAATTCATCATTTATTTACAAGTATAACATCTCAATGAAACATAATGGTTATTTATTTGTTTCTTTACATTCTCTTTAAGGTTTAGGTAGGTTAGTAACCCTTGAAATGACGACGGATGGACAGAGTTAATCTACTTGACGCCATTTTTGCTTTGGTAGTGAGTAGTTATGAAACACTGAAAGGCTTATAAATCACTGAAATCGACACGACAAACTGTTGCATCGCGGTGATTGACCGAAAGTAGGTGATGCCTCACATCTCATGAAGAGTCCATTACCGGCTCCTTTTCTCTGATCAATTATTCTACTACTCAAAAGCAGTTTAAGTGTAGGAGTGTGAATCAAACAGCATTTCGTTCCAGTTACTAATGGTTTCACTTGTGTAATCGAGGAAGCTATATGAGATAAAAATTGCGTCAAGTAGATTAACTCTATACTTCCCACATCTTCGAGACAACTTCTCTAGGAGAATTTTCCATGTAGTGTAATGGCATCAAAAAGATGTATGTTTTGTCAGAACCCCTGGTGCACTGTTTGGGCTTTGTCTCATGTATTTCCAATAATCGCACACAAAAGAATTTGGAATCGTATCGATTATGTAACAGTCGATAAAATAAATACATAAAAGCCTGTGGCATGAATGAATAAAATGCAAATGGGTAATTAGATATAATATGAATGGTATAATTAAACAATTCTGATAACAAAAATACTAAATAGGAGCATTTGCGTAACTGATATTAGTTTTCGGTAATCAATTCGAAAATTAATATTGTGTAATATTTGTGATAAGTTAATTGACTGATAAAATTTTATTTATTGTTACTGTTATAGCTGATAAACACATGAGTAACTCTTGCAATGAACCCTGTCTGGCACTTTGAAAGACTTTAACAGTTGAATCTTCCACCTCAATGTTTTGCTAATGTACGCTACTGTTTTGTCGTAAAAGTAGCTGCATATATAAATGAGGTATTAGATATATGTATACATACAGTTCTTAATTCAGGCAACGTAATGCCAATTTTGGCAACTCCAGCCTATAAATATCAAAGCTATTAACATATTCATAGCCACTAAATAGAATAAATTTCCTTTAATGTACAACTCTATATTCCATCCAATATATGCGAAGGGGTTGCTAGTTATTAAGCTGTACACGTTGATTTGTCTGACAAAAAGCACGATAATACAGGGTGTTCCGTGAAGAAATGGACATAGGGAAATGATAGGTAGTATGGACCGAGATCTGAAAAATATAGCAACATTTGATATCACATATCGCTGTCACTATGGAATTATGATGATATTTTGTCCAATAAAAGCAATCTAGGAGTAATATATAACCAGTCGGAAAGTTAAAACATTCAGGATCAAACTTTGTTGTATTGTATCAAATCATTCTCTTTTCAGCTGAATATTGAAAGGTTTAACTATGTTCAAAAAATGAATGTTGCTTATCAACTAACATGATAGATCAATTGCGCCTCTTTTTGTTTGCCATCATTTCATTGCTGACGGAAAACCTAAATAATAGGCAACCAGTAATTTTAGGATACCACCAGGTGGCAACTAAATTTACTGTGAATTGTGGTCATCCCAAAAGAGCACTAGGCTGCCAAGTGCTGGACGTGTACCTATTATGTCGACAGAAGCGCCTTGATCATAATACGCTTTTCACTGATAGCCAAGATATAAATTTACAAATTTCCATCCCCTACAACACCTAAATCCAATTTTTAGCCCCTCTTTTGTGCATTTTATTGCGCATTTTTTCTTCAATTGTAACTTGTTAATAAATAATAGTACAGCTCTGAAATTTCATGTCATAATTACACTTTTCCAGTAGAATTGAGCGGACTTTTATTTACTTACTTTTATATTTATCGCATTTCCCCTTCGAAAAATCTTTGATTTCCTTGAAACCTCATTCTCCAGTAAATTAAATTTTCAATGACTGCAAAGATTTTTTGAGGAGAAAAGTGACAAGAAAACAGTAATCACCCGCTCAATTCTTCCGTAAAGGTGGAATATTCACATACATATTTAGAGCGTACTATTATTTGGTAACAAGTTGTGATTGAAGATGCATAAAAATGCACAAAAAAGAATTTTTTGACAAAACAGATCTGATAACAATGTTTTTCAGTTAAGTCATATATACGTACCCAATATTTTGGATTATTGTGCGAATGGTTTATAAATGTATCAGTATTTTCATTTCATCAACATTAATTACGTGTTTTATGTCACTTATTCTATGTACGGAAAGTATTTTCCTGCAAAATAGTTTTTTTGGTGTGGAGGTGAGTTCGTTTCCGATTTTTCCCTTTACGACATCTGTAGGTGAGTCTATGCATAATCTTAAAAACACGCCTCTATTTAATTACATTTATGCAACGAAGGATTATCTTCTTATATGGACATTTTTCGTCTCAACGAATGTAAAATTAATAGTCTATTATGCATAAATTTGACAATCCAATAGGTGCTTAAACGTGTTCATTATGTATATAGGCATTAGAAAGCTTGTATTTGTATAAATTATTTATAATAGTTGGTTGCACTTGTTATAACTAAGATTTAATATCTTCGAGTGAAATCACACAGCTTAATCCATTCTATAAAACCCAAAATCTATGTAATGTTATTGGAATTATGCAAATAGGTCATGTATAAATACTGCCCATTAGGATTTACACTTATTTTGGCTGTTTCAAGAACTAATATCATATAATATTAACAGATTTGATAAAGTGGTTCGATTTGCCTGCTAATCCACTTTAATGTGGTGGGTGAATCAAGGTGAATTATTATACAGGGAGATGTTCGTTAATGATATGCGCATACTTAAGGGTGTGAATCTACATGAAAAATTAATGTTAGTTTGCTTTATAAACTGTGGTCCAAAAATGTTTCCTTACAAAAACTCGGGTTGTTGAAGTTTTAGGAAAAAAATGGAATTTTATTAATATTTTCAGAGCCAGATATTTCACTGATATTTAGTACGTAGTGAAAGTTAATAAAGTTGCATATTTTTCAATGCAAAAATAATTTTTAGCTTTAACAGTGGCGTGCGTACGGGTATTGACTTCGATATTTTTTAATAAAAAAATGGTACGCCAATAGTTTTTTGCCAAATAAAAATTATTTTTGAATTCCCCGTTCAATTGTAAACAAATGATCTTTCTTGAATTGTTTTCGTTCGATGGGCCATTTTTGAGTAACAAAATAAAAACCGTTTTGTTGTCTAACTTGCAAAATTTGCCTCCTAATGTAACTTCAGATTCAGCCAATGGATCAAGGAGTTTTAGAAAATTTAGAACGCAAGTACAGACGTTTGTTATAAGAGCAAATTTTAGATCAAGTTGACAATGGTTGTAACCTGGTTAATTGTTTAAAAGAGATTAACTTCAAGAATGTGGCAGAAGCATGGAGCCGAGTAAAAAATTCTACTCTTCAAAAATCTTGATCGACAATAATTAAGCAAGAAATAAGCCTTGTGCAGACTATGAGAATAACAACGAACATTTACATGAGCTCGTTGTGAAAATCTTACCCAAGCAGATGTTGGTGAGTCGATAAATGGTGGAAGAATTGACTGATACAGAACTAATAAAACCTGTTTGTAACAATGGCGATGAGACAGTTTTAAGTGATGCTAGTGACAATGAGACAGAAATCTCTGCCAAAATATCACATTCTGAGAGATTAGAAGCTCTACAAAAGGCGTTGACTTACGTCGAACAACAAGAAAATGCGACAGCAGCTAATGTGCTACTTATCAAACATTGGAGGGATATTGCTGCCGAAAATAGGAACAATGCAAAACGTGTACAAATTAAAATTACTTCCTTTGTTACTAAATACTCGTAAATATGTATGTTAGTATCCACATATTTATATTTTACGTAACTTTATATAGGTATATACTCACTTAACACACGCATTTACTTTTTTCAATAAAAGCATTATGAGTCATTATTTCCGTATTATCCGAAATTTCGATTATCCGAAAGCACTTGGGTCCACATTATTTCGGATGATCGGGGTCCTACTGTAGTAAATACTGTAACAAATGGCGTCGAGTAGGTTGATTGTGTACTTTTAACAAATCGCTATCAGTTCAAAAGTTAGCCCATTTTAAGAAAGGGTCAACTAGGAACAGGTATAACAAAGTAATTACATGGATGGAGTCGGCCGAATCAGCTCGTACATTTAGTCCCCAGTCACTCCTTCCTCCTTACAACCCCCCCCCCCTCTCCCGAATGATTTGCTCATATTTTCTTTCAAACATAATCAAGACCGTCCGAGACGTCAAAAAACGAAGTTTGGTCGATTGTTATTTTTTTCGTTTTTGGCATTATTCTCCGCCGCCACTAGACCAATTTTCAACACAGCATTTTGGTCCCTGGGACGTTAGTAATTTTATCAAAATCCGAGCTTAGAAAATCAAAAAATTAGCGGTCAGCCCGACAGATAGAGCAAATGAGTGACATGGTTTGTCGTGATGTGATACTTATAAGAGCCAAAAAACACAGTATCTCTTTGTCGAAATTTTCCACGTTTACATTACCCCTCGCCCCAGTAGGAAGTAAAACAAATAAAAACAGGTAAGAGATAATTTGGAAGGTGAAAGTTAAGTGTACCATCAACCGTTATCTTTTTTATCAGTTTTCACGTTTATTTTCAGTAAGATGTCGTTTGTTAAATGGATAAACATAACAAATGAACTTTTGTAAATGTTCTAAGTTTCAACACATACTAATCTTGTTTACCTTCTTGTCGTGATTAGAGACAGAACTGTTATAATAAATGCCCATTGTAGCATAAGGTAGGTAAACGTGTTGTGTACATATTTCTCTAATTACAAAACAAACTCTAATGGTTAGTAAATAAAATATGAACATTAATGGCTGTGTAGACCATGCCAAATTATGGTAGCATAGATAACTGTATTTAGAAAATGAAACAACATGTTGCGTTCTTTATGTTGGACGGCCTATTCTATTGCTATAACAATATTAGACATCACTAATCTACAAAACAATAATATTTTATCCTAATATGCCAATAAGTTATTGAAAAAATAGATCTCTACGTATACAAGGTGTTTTCAAAAATGAATCTTTTGCTAACAGTATTTCGGGAGACGTTTAATTTGTCGATTTGGTGTCAACTGGCCACCAAGGTCACCGGATTTAACGGCTCCTGACTCTCCTTTATGGAAATTTTTAAAAAATAGGGTTTATGGGAAATTGTCGGATATTATTTTTGATACATAATTTCTAAGTTTCAATAAAAGATTAAGATGAAAAAATGGACGTATTTTGTTTCAATATTCAAGATTCATATCGGCCACCCTGTATTGTGTCAAGTGGCTAAAGGGACGGAAGGGTGAGAGGCCCTCGTAGAACTGTGTGAGCGATTCAGCGCTCAAATGAATGGTATTTCAATCCCGCAGCTATTTATTATGTGTATGTATTTCCAATAACTTGAATTATACGCGTATTTTTTTCTCTGTAATAAGTTGACTAATTCAAGACTTATCCTTTAACGAATCTAAAAACATCTTTGCTTCGATGATTTTAAAATACTACCACAAAATCACTGTCTCTAGGTAGTAGATATTCAATCCTCTTCTCATAGGTTACCAAATTGTTACATTTACGTTCAGCAATCATCAGATTTTGCCTATCTATTACATGTCCCAATTGAAAAATTGTATAATGATTTTGGATGACCCTCAGATTCTCCTAGACCTAAACTTAACCATCCGTATGCTTCTGTTACCAACCGACGACCTAGTTGTTTTACTGATAAAATATATTTCAGTTTTTTTCATCATATATCTTCAAAAATTGTCAAAAGACAAAATAGTCTAAAGATCCCGCCTGTTGACTTTTTCGAACACTGCAGACAGGTGCATTAGCTGATTGCGTACGAATCCGATATAATCGCTTCTATGATAGCAATTTTTTCATGAAACCCGATTAGTCGAAATCCTTATGCCATCATCTAGAAAAAATATACGGAAGCTTGGAGATGTATTTGTAGCAGATGTTGCTTGTTATGTTAAGGTTACGTTAATGATCTTTCAGAGGGTATAATAACTATTCCGATTTCGATTTATTGCAACATCCTTATTTTTCCAGATGTTAAACACTGAATGAGTTTGTTTGACTGACACGACATCTGACGAGATGCATTTGTGACATTTTGCAGTGTTTTTCTACATCTTCTCGCGTTTATACCACTTCTTTTGTTAGATGATTTCTGTAGTTTTATTATTTCGGTTTAGAATTCCACATGTTGTAACATGTTGTTCCCACGATCATCGTTTTCGAAAAAAAAAAAAATGTAGGCGTTAAAAATTGGGGAGAAGGGATTGTAGGTGGTGTATATGCAACTTGTTTAAATGGAGATGTACCTGTAGGGATATCACTGAAAAGGTAATTTTTTTTCCGGTGCAGCCCTAGACAACTCTCTTGCTTTTTTGTAACATATTTTATGACATTAAAGCATAGATTTTGTCGTTTTCATTAGGGTCCTGGCCTGTTACTTTTAAAAAAGTAAAGTATCCTACTCATTGTAAGATCCGCCGTGTGGCGACAGCCTTAGTCATTCTGCATAGAAACCTAAACACATGGAGGAAATCCTGGTTCTTTTATCCCCTGTCGCTTCTTCTTTACCTTGTACACACAAATCTTTATATATTCTGTTGCACTGAAAGGAGTTCCCCGGTTCGTTATAAGCACACAGCACGGGTTGAATGACAAATAAAAATGGATGAATTCGTCCGTCACTGCTTATACATATTTTGGAAGATCCAAATATATATAAAAAAGGGTGGTGTATTTTGTTCTCAGTGTAATTTGCGTGTGGAGTTATCAATACTCGAAAATAGATGATTGGGCCGTATACAGCAGATATATGTATAACTCATATTAGCAATGTTAAGTATGCAAGATAAGTAAATTTTGATTAATCGATGTATGAATGTGATGATCCTATTGTAGCAATTTATTTTGGACACTGTGTATGTATAGAGTTTAGGCTTGACTCACAGTGGACATGGTGGATTAAAATTCTGAAGCGTAAATGACATTTGTTTAATAATTTTAATCCGAAATTTGCATAATTTGGCAACAGAGCTCCCTGTATTTGTAATCATTGAAATTCTGCGTTGTTTGATGCTAATCCATTTATGAAAAAGCACCATTTCCACCAGTCGTTTCAGTGTCAGCCAGTTAATGGATATTCCATCATTACCATGTAAATAATGCATTTGATTCTGGGCTGTGGAATCAAATTGACACTCGTTTAGTAGACGCTTTGTGTTGCTAATTTCTAGTATTTATTTATGGAAAAATTATGAAAATACAAGGTATTTCATAAAAACACTTTCGAATATTCGTCATGCATTCTGTAAAGAACTTTTGATTTCCTTGAATTAATAAAAAAACACCCTGTAAAATGGCCATACTACATACGTCGTACGTATAGATGCGACAATTTCTGGTGGTCTCAACTATTTAACAACTTTCCTACCATGGGCGATTGCACAAATGTTGCAAGATTTTCGATCATTTTTGATAAATTCACACACTTTTTCGACGGTTTCTGGTGTAATAACAAATTTTGGCTGGCCAGCCTGTTCGTCGTCTTCCAGCGACTCACGATCCTCTTTGAACCGTGTTAACAACTCGTGGACTCGGCTACGAGATAAACAATCATCTCCATACACTTGCATCAACATCTGATGAGTTTTTAACACAAAACTTAATATTGTCTGTTTGTTCGATGCTCATTTTTCGACCGAAGCTAAAAAGGTACTGTCACTGTCAAGTGGTTCGATTGTCATGAAATCAATTTTATGGAGGTCTGCATTGAAAAATCATGATTTCTATGAATGTTTCTTTCCATCTAATACGTTTTTCTTTTGTTGCAGGACCAGAATGATGGAAAAATGATCGTCTAACCGGAACCGGCCATCATTCAAACATGTTCACAAGTGCCTTGACGTGCTTTCCCAGGATCTGCTATCATCTTTTACCCTTCGTACTTCTACGATTCTTCCTTCTCCTGCAGTTCTGCAAAGGATGGGTGCCAGATCAAAGCACAAAACTGACGTTTCCGATGACCAGGGTACCTAGCATTAGCTTTAAAGGAAATTCATCTTCCATAGATTATTTTAATGTCTTGTATCAAGACGATAACTCCATATTATTGGGAGGAAGGAACCAAATATATAATCTATCACTGTCAGATTTTTCCCAAAGACGTGATGCCACGATATATTGGCCGTCATCGGAAGCACATGGACAACTGTGCAATCTGAAGGGAAAGACCGAAGATGATTGCCAGAACTACATTAGGATATTTTTCTACACGGCTCCAGAGAAGTTTCTCGTCTGTGGAACCAACTCTTACAAACCTCTATGCAGGATTTTATATAGAAAGGTAAGATTTAGATTTTAAATTTTATTTCGACTTCTGCAAATAACGGGGTAAGGAAATTAAAAAATTACTACCAGGAAACATTGTCATTATTTCGAAATGAGTTTTCTATCTCATAATTTCATGTCCATTTTTTTAATTGTTTTGCATTTTCTACACAGTGTGTTTACAGAAAACAAAATGTATTTTAACAATTTTTTGTCGCAACGTTGAAAAAGGCGTGCTCGCACCATGATTTTTTCGTAGTCAACAGTTAGATGGACTAGTTCATCGATTACGCGCTAAAAACTCACCCTGTATACGAATAAAAACATGCAGAGTTCCTCTTTATCAACACATTACGTAAGTGCAACTGGTTACATGCGAATATCTGGTGAAAGTCACCTGTGTATGGGAAAGTTGCAGCGGACTTCAGGGTTTAAAATAATGTATGCAGGTTTTTTATATGCTCAGATAGCGCTGATAGATTAGGACCGAGATATGAATATTCCAACGGATTTCATAATATATTTTCAATTTTATATGTCTGCACTTGCTCTTGATTAACAAGCTTCTGATATCTAGATAACGCAACGTGATGTAAGATATTATTTACTTCAATTATGAACCTGCCAAAGTGGGTACCGCCGATTCATTGTATCATAGAACGTGAAAACAGTAGCACAGTTATATGAAATTAGCCTAAAGCGAGCCCCTGGTTCCACTGGCTCTGAAACTCTATCATTAGGTAACCAAGTTTTGAGTGCCAGTCGCACAAACCGGCTCCTTCACTTGCATGCCATTCTTTTGAAATCTCTACAAGGAAATCTGATGCAAGGAAATAGCATGTTTCTTAAATAGCTAAAGCAGAAAAAAAGTGTCAAAACCTATCATCTCATATAAATGTATTTAGCTTCCTTGTTTAAGAACAAAATCTTTATTGATGAAATTTTACTTACGGATTTAGCACCAATTTTGGAATCAGTGGTATGTAAGGTTTTTCGAAATCATCGTTTTAATAACTTTTGGCTATACTTTATAAAGGTGTAAATCAAATAATGCTCAACATTACACACTTAATGCACCAATATTTTAAAACGTACTTACTTTTGGATACTTTTTTAAATCAATAACAAAATGGGGGTCCACTTTGAGCACATTTCTCTAATTCTAGTAGCTTCGATACCCTAGATATATAGTCCTTTCACGGAAACAAAGCCGTTACGTCAGATTCAGTAAATTTGAATGCCAACCCTAATGCAAAATAGATCCTAAGTTGGTACGTACAGTTTGAATTTGCCGGGTACATTTATGTTGGTAACAGTTTTCTGTATTGTGACATTGTCAGGTAATTACACCAACGGCTGTTGTTTATTTGTCTTTTATTTCCTAGGATCTAGTAGTTTTAAGTAATGTGGCAACCATGTGCGTCACTGTCATTATTGGACGTTGTGACGTAACTGATTTGATTTAGTGGATATACTGTATTGCAATCAAGAAACGTCGACATGTTTTTCAGATTTGTTGTTGAGAACGTTCAACTTGCGTTTATACTTCTGTTGATTTGATTCTGTGATAATAGGCGTCTAATTAATTAAATTACGCGATCTTTTGTTTAGTTGTTCCAAACTGATGACGTGAGATACACATTTTTTTAGTGTGATACAATGTAGCGTGCATTTCAAAAAGGTTTCCCTCACACTATTGTTTGAAAGGCTCAAATAGGCAATACTGAAATTTTGATGATGAATTTGATCCATGAATATTTATTGTACTGCAGAAGTGGCAGTTGAAAATTTAATGATGACGGTTGGGCGCCATGTTGGAATATTTTGTAACTAGAATTTGGCGTCATATCGTACCTTACTGGAGATTTTCTTCCAACCGCCATCTTCAAATTTTGAACTGTCATTTATTCCACTGCTATTTTGAATTCATACATCCATAGAACCGTAAGTATATTTTTTCCTGATTTTGTCAACACAACTTCATCAACGTATGACTCGATAAGTGGCCATCTTGATTCTATATTAACCCCCTTGTTATTTTTAGGGGTGATATTTGTCGTAAGAACATTGCCATTACTTTTAGTCGTCCTGTATAATGTCATTTGTTAATCGTGGCTAATTCAAGGTCTGTTATTTTTTGCTATAAAAATGTGCCGCTTATTCTATTCTACAGGGTGTTATTAAAATACGTGACCAAACTTCAGGATTCTTTGTGTAATTTTAAGATGAAAAGTATATAAACATAGGTCCAAAAGTGCTTCATTTTTAAACTTTCTTTTAGAAAATGGGTTTTTCCTAAATATCAGGCGATTTTGTTCAAATTTAGCAGTGATATTAGGGGCAGTAAGCGCTAATTTTGCGCCAATTAGATTGAAATTATTAGGTCCATTGAGATCCCGAAAAACACCCAAACCAATATCTTAGACAACAAATTTGTGCGCCACTTACTTTTTCATTTTTTTTTTCGATTCGAGCAGCTAAACATACAATTTTTTGTCTCTTGTGTTTCTTCCATATCTCGCTTCGTTTGCGAGATAAAAAATTAAAAGCACTTCATTGCATATTTTTGATAATTGAGTCGTCTTTTAAATTCTTTTGCTCAGATTCTACCTGCTTTCGATGAAACAAATAAACATAAAATATTTTCATAACGTTATTATTTATTGTTGCAAAGTTTTGCTAGTGGCCTTGCACATTGGTAACGCTGGAAATTAGGAAAAATTCAACCGGAAAAACATCTTTTTGAAACTACACTTTTATTTGAATGAAAAAATTTAACAGTAAATAACACGAGACTTATAGTAGTTGCCAGAAATGCCCTCCTTTAACCTCAGTGGAAGCATTAGCTCGTCTCAACATTGATTGCCGAACTCATTGAAATATTCCTGGCGTATGTCTTATCTGATCACATGAATCTGGTATCGGTTGGGTGAATTCTCCTTTTTATATTAACTGGAATTTTGTAAACGAGAGACTTTAAATGCCCCCGAAAGAAAAAATCTAACGGATTCTAATCAGGTGACCTGAGTGGCCTTGACTGTGGACCTGCGCGCCTGATCCAGTTTTCTGCAAAAGTTGCATCCAAAAATTGGCGAGCTACTATGCTGAAGTGAGGTGCATGAAACATATTACTCCTCTTACTACCAGGGGGACATTTTGTAGCAGTTCAGGTAAAATAAATTCCAAAAAGATGACGATACTCTTGAACCATTTAATCTCGGGGGAGGTCCAAGCTTAAGTCTCCTAAAAACTCTTCAAATAATTACGATCATTACTTACGCACTGCTTTAAGTAAGTTATGTCAAAGTCAGATTTGTTTGAGTTGCAATTGTTTTTCTTTTCATGGCACTCTTTTTTTTGTTTGGCACTTTTAAAAAATTGCTGGTACAAATAATAATTATTACGTTATGCGATTATTTTATGTTATCTTGATTTATGGAAATTAGTTGTGCCAAAAAAATCAAGACATGTCTTTCGCCTAATGTTAATTACTTAATTAGTTTGGTAGCTTTAATGTTTTATTATGTTATTGTTTCAGGGACACGCAATTAAGTGCTTTTTATTTCTTTATCTCGCAAACGAAGCGAGATATGAAAGAAATTCAAGAAACAAAAAAGTTGTATTTTTTGCTGCTTAATTCGAAAAAAGTCAGTGACCCACAATTCTTTTTGTCGAAGATATTGGTTATTGTTTTCCGAGACACCCCTGACTTAATAATTTCAGTCTAATTGGGGATAAATTAGCCCCTTACTGCCTTTAATACCACTACTAAATTTAAACAAAGTCAAGACTGAAAGTTTATCAAGATATTAGGAAAAACATATTTTTAAAAAAATGTTTTACGGCCTGTATCTTGAGAACAAAGCATTTGTGGACCTATGTTTATATAAACTTTTCATCTTAAAATTACTGAAAAAACCACCTCCTGGAGTTTGGCCACGTACTTAAATAACGCCCTGTATAGTGGTAATATGATGCAATTGCGTCACCGGTAACATCCCTTTTCTGCTCAACGCGTTTCTTCAGTGATGCTAATCGCGTAAAACAGGTTTGGTCGGACATGCATATATCGAGGAACCCGATTGTGCACATGAGTGGAGGTTATTAGATAGTACCCGACTGATCTGGTTCTGCACGTCGCCGTTGCCCCCATACTTTCTTTATTATTTTATTTTTAATTTATTCCAAGCAGAGCACAAAGAACTGGTTCAAATTTACTGCTTCTTGGCCTAGCGTCGTCAACACAAAGGACGTGGCAAATAAATGTAGGGAAAATATGTGTGAGTTATGTCTAACAGGTGCATAGTATCACTGAGATCAGCACCTTCTTAATATTATATTTTAGACAGCTTCAAACCTGCAATTTTCAGCCTCTCCAAACAATGTGTGAAAATGAGCAGGAGTCTCTGAAACGTTGTAACTGAATCAGTTTTCAAAATCTACGACTACCTAAACGATAGAAGTATTAAAGTCGTAATAATATTCGGTTCACAAGTTTTCTGCATAACACCAGTGCGTGTTTCTCATTTATGCCGGTTTGTCAGTCCGTGTCTTTTGTATACTAAGTGACATATAAATCCGAACACCCAGTTTAAATGGTTTTATTTTAATAAAATTTTGTATAAGTACTTAATGAAGCATAATAAGTAAATGATAAAATTTCAAAATGATTGCACTGCTTTAAAGCCCTTTGACCTTTAATAATGTGTGGATGCACCCTGATGTGCTACGCATTCTCCAACGTGCCTAGGCATGCTTCTGATCAGGTGGTCAATGTCCTCCTGTGGTATCTCATTCCAGGCAACCACCAACTCCTCTCGAAGTGCTTCTAGAGTCTGAGGAGGACGTTGCAAATTGAGCAATCTCCTACCCATCATATCCCACATGTGCTCAATTGGGGATAAGTCGGGAGATCTTGGTGGCCATGGTAACAATGTGACATCATTATGTTGAAAGAAGTCTATTGTGACTCCAACATGTGGTCGGGCATTATCTTGTTGGAAAGTTGGATCTGCC